TTCTATTCTATTCTATTCCTTATTCTATTCTATTCTTATCCCTTATTCTATTCTATTCTTATCCCTTATCCCTTATCCCTTATCCCTTATTCTATTCTATTCTATTCTATTCTATTCTATTCTATTCTATTCTATTCTATTCTATTCTATTCCATTCCATTCCATTCCATTCCATTCTATTCCTTATTCTATTCTATTCTCAATGAAGATTCTATTCTATTCTGTTCTGTTCTGTTCTATTCTATTCTAATTCTATTCTACGTTACCTAGTTACCTAGAAAACCACCAAGCTCAGACAGCGCCAAGGACCTCCCCAGTTCCCCTCCTCCTCCTCCTCCTCTTCCTCCTCCTCCTCCTCCTCCTCTTTTCATCCTTTTCCTCTCTGCAAACCCCTTCCTTCTAGCGCTGATGATGTTACCTAGCCGGGCCGTGAAACGCCTGCAAGCAAACCCACCCAGCTCAGAGCCGCCCCCCTCCCGCCCCCCCAAAAAATCTCCCACCCTTCCTTCCCTCCCACCGAGGATCACAACCTGCCGCTCCAGGCCACCTACCTTCTCACTCCAGAGGACCTGGTTGTTGTGGCCTTCCGAGAACAAGAAATCCTGCAGGAGGTGGAGCAGTTTTAGGGCGTTCTGGGTGAGGCTGGGCAGCAGAGCCGGGGTGCTCTCCTTCAGGTCGGTCAGGGCCGACTCCATCATCATCTCCAGCAGGCTGTGGAAGAGGGGGGGGGGCAGAAATGAGAGGCGGGAAAGCGGGGGAAGCGGGAGGCTTCAATTGATCTTGACGGAAAGGCTCAAAATGGGTGCCGGGCAGAGATCAGTCGGAAGGCAACTTCCCGCTCTATTTATATCCCAGCGGGCCGGGTCTTAAAATACGGCCGAGTGAGACGGTGTCCACGTGTGAAAACGAGGCCATCCCACCCACACACAGACACACACACACACTACACGGAGTCAGTCTCACATTCCAGGAATGAGCGCCATCTCGTTGGTCTTCTAAGATCATGGATCCCTTTCTCTCCAACCTCACCCCCTTATCTCTTGAGCCCAAAGCTCTTTCCTTCCCCCCCCCGCCCCCCAGCCTCTTCAGCAGAGGGATGGACGGATATTTCGGAGGTGGGCAGGCTGAGCTTCTTTTAAAAATACGATTTGGCTTCTAAAGCCAACGCCCCCTCCCCGGGGGCTGGGGGGGAAGTGAACCACAGCGGGGACGATGGAGCCAAGGCTTTTTCAGTGGGGCAGAGAGAAGGACCTCAAAGAGCCAAATGGGACCCCCTACTTGTGGTTTTGGGTCCTTCAAGAGGAAGCCCTTTGCCCCCATTTGCGAATCCGCTTGTGTGTGGGGTGTGTGTGTGTGTCTGCGAAAGGACACAAGAAGGAAGCTACGGGATCCAGAAGTTGCCTCGTCTTCTTTGATATAACGTTATCTATTGCAGTATCTCCCATATGCCCTCCCTGCCTTGGAGATAAAACCCCGATGAACTGTATCCTGCTGAAGATTTGGACAGAAGACTGAAGTTCTGGCGAAAGAGAATATTTGTAACTCGGGTGGTCTCTGAGCTTGGTGGGTTTTCTTGCAGATGTTTCGTGACCCAACTAGGGAACATCATCAGTGCTAGAAGGGAAGGGGTTTTGCTCTCTGTTCGTACACTATTTCTTCCAGCCTTGATGACGCTATCTAGTTGGCTTGCAAAATGTTTGCAAGAAAACAATGAAGCTCCAAGAAAACGAAAGACCCCACAGTCCTCCTCCTCCTCCTCTTCTTTTCCACAAACCCTACTGTCTTCTAGCAATGATAATATCACATAGTTCGGTCATGAAACGTCTGCAAGGAAACCACCAAGTTGAGAAAGCACCAAGGACCCCACAGTCCTTTTCTTCTTCCTCCTCCTCCTCCTCCTCTTCCTCACCACAACCCCCCTTCCCTTCTAGAACGGATAACTTTCCTTGTTAGATAATGAAATATCTGCAGGAAAGACACCAGCCACACAGAGTACCAAGGATCTCACAAGCCAGAAGTCCTCAAGAAAGATTTTGTCCACAGCACAGATATTCTGCTGGCTGACATGAAAAGATAGCGGATCCAACCAGGGTTTATCTAAAGACGACCCTGGTAGCTTCCATTGGCCCCTCTCCACCAGGTCCTTTCCCTTCACCTGGGTTAGACCTCAAGGGAGAAGTTCCTTCTTTCCCCCTACTCTTTTTCCTCCCTTTCCTCTTTCTTCCTTCCTTTCTTCTTTCCTTCCTTGCACTTTTCTTCCTCCTTTCCTTCCTTTTCTTTCTACTGCCTTTGTTCTTTCCTTTCCTTTCCCTTCCTTCCTTCCATCCCTCCTCCTCCCTGCAACCTTCCTCCCTCCCTCTTTCCCTTCCTCCTTCCCTTCCTTCCTTCCTTTCTACTGCCTTTGTTCCTTTCCTTTCCTTTTCTTTTCCTTCCTTCTTTCCATTCCTCCACCTCTGCAACCTTCCTTCCTCCTTTCCTTTCCTTCCTTCCTTTCCTTTCCTTCCTTCCTGCTTTCCCTCTCCTTTCTGCAACCTTCCTCCCTCCTTTCCTTTCCTTTCCTTTCCTTTCCTCTTTGAAACCTCCCTCCTTTCCT